GACTTGGTATTCATGTAGCTGTACCTCTGATCTGCATCTACAATTATTTTTCTTTTTTTTTTCTTATAAGCCTGGAACTTCATTTGGAATATTATATGTCGGTAATATGTTTCCTGTCTAGTCACATCTGCTATGTGTGTTTTTTTTTTTTTTTAAGGAGGTTTAAACATACCTTGGAATTCTGTACAAAGCTAAGTCTATTTGTCGAGGAATTCTGCTGTTTGGAAATGAAACCTTGTATTTTTTTCTTATGTTAATATATTACAGATGCTTGATTATCTTATTCAGGATAATCGCTAACAGTTATGATTGTTGATACATATTAAGGGTATATAGTGTGACATCTTTTGTGCGTGTTTATTTGTTTATGTCTTTTGAAGTAGATAGTATCTAGTATAATTATGGATAGACTTTGCTAAAATAAAAAAATCATATATCAATGATTAGCATTCCTTTTTGCAGACCTGTCTCAATATTCAACAGCTCTCTCGCTCTCTTTCTCTCTCTCATATCTACATATATGTACATACATACATACATACATACATACATACATATATATATATATATATATATATATATATATATATATATATATATATATATATATATATGTGTGTGTGTGTGTGTGTGTGTGTGTGTGTGTGTGTATGTGTGTGTGTGTATGTATGTATATATATATGTATATATATATATATATATATATATATATATATATATATATATATATATATATATATATATATATATATATATATATACATGTATATATATATATATATATATATATATATATATATATATATATATATATATATATATATATATATATATATATACATACACACACCCCCACACATGTGTGTGTGTATATGTGTGTGTGTCTGTGTGCATGTGTGTGTATATATATGTATATGTATTTATGTATAAAATATTCCCACCTCACTCACAGCCAAGCAAAGACATAACCACGGAATCTCGCGACGTATTTTTCTCTTTGTTTTTCCCAAAAGGCTTTTAAAAAGGAAGGAAAGAGAAGGAGACCAACTTTACACACACGGCCATCAACCGCATAAAAAAACTAGGCATCAGAGTGAGTGCCAAGAGGGTGCCACGCCGGGCCAAATGCACAAACAGTGTCATCAGACATGGGCAAAGAAGGTTTCCGTTATGAATAACTTTAGAATTACTTTAGTTTTGAGAAGAATATTTGGCTCTGGAGCTACCTGGTTTAAATGGCCCTCTTTAGGCATTTGGACGAACTAGTTTCAAGAGCCATCTGAATTTGATGGCGATTTTAGTTTGCCTTAGTTTAGTTTAGGTTTGTTGAAGTAGGTATTTTGTACAGATGGTCGTTTAGATTATATAGACATTTTAGATGAGATGGACATTGAGACTATTTCTAAACCCTTCGGTTAATTTGCATTTGCTGGCATTTGGGTCTCTTTGTACTGAAAGATAGCGTAGAAAATCCATAGGGTTACAACACTCTTTCTCTCTTCCTCTCTCTCTCTCTCTTTTCCTCTCTCTCTCTCTCTCTATCTCTCTTTCTCTCTCTCTCTTTTCTTCTCTCTCTTTCTCTCTCTCTTTCTCTCTCTCACTCTCCGTCCCCCCCCCCTCTCTCTCTCTTCCTTCCCTCCCTCCCTCCCTCCCTCCAACCTCCCCCCCCCCCCCATCCCTCTTGAGAGAGAGAGAGAGAGAGAGAGAGAGAGAGAGAGAGAGAGAGAGAGAGAGAGAGAGAGAGAGAGAGAGAGAGAGAGAGAGAGAGAGAGAGAGAGAGAGAGAGAGAGAGAGAGAGAGAGAGAGAGAGAGAGAGAGAGAGAGAGAGAGAGAGAGAGAGAGAGAGAGAGAGAGAGAGAGAGAGAGAGAGAGAGAGAGAGAGAGAGAGAGAGAGAGAGAGAGAGAGAGAGAGAGAGAGAGAGAGAGAGAGAGAGAGAGAGAGAGAGAGAGAGAGAGAGAGAGAGAGAGAGAGAGAGAGAGAGAGAGAGAGAGAGAGAGAGAGAGAGAGAGAGAGAGAGAGAGAGAGAGAGAGAGAGAGAGAGAGAGAGAGAGAGAGAGAGAGAGAGAGAGAGAGAGAGAGAGAGAGAGAGAGAGAGAGAGAGAGAGAGAGAGAGAGAGAGAGAGAGAGAGAGAGAGAGAGAGAGAGAGAGAGAGAGAGAGAGAGAGAGAGAGAGAGAGAGAGAGAGAGAGAGAGAGAGAGAGAGAGAGAGAGAGAGAGAGAGAGAGAGAGAGAGAGAGAGAGAGAGAGAGAGAGAGAGAGAGAGAGAGAGAGAGAGAGAGAGAGAGAGAGAGAGAGAGAGAGAGAGAGAGAGAGAGAGAGAGAGAGAGAGAGAGAGAGAGAGAGAGAGAGAGAGAGAGAGAGAGAGAGAGAGAGAGAGAGAGAGAGAGAGAGAGAGAGAGAGAGAGAGAGAGAGAGAGAGAGAGAGAGAGAGAGAGAGAGAGAGAGAGAGAGAGAGAGAGAGAGAGAGAGAGAGAGAGAGAGAGAGAGAGAGAGAGAGAGAGAGAGAGAGAGAGAGAGAGAGAGAGAGAGAGAGAGAGAGAGAGAGAGAGAGAGAGAGAGAGAGAGAGAGAGAGAGAGAGAGAGAGAGAGAGAGAGAGAGAGAGAGAGAGAGAGAGAGAGAGAGAGAGAGAGAGAGAGAGAGAGAGAGAGAGAGAGAGAGAGAGAGAGAGAGAGAGAGAGAGAGAGAGAGAGAGAGAGAGAGAGAGAGAGAGAGAGAGAGAGAGAGAGAGAGAGAGAGAGAGAGAGAGAGAGAGAGAGAGAGAGAGAGAGAGAGAGAGAGAGAGAGAGAGAGAGAGAGAGAGAGAGAGAGAGAGAGAGAGAGAGAGAGAGAGAGAGAGAGAGAGAGAGAGAGAGAGAGAGAGAGAGAGAGAGAGAGAGAGAGAGAGAGAGAGAGAGAGAGAGAGAGAGAGAGAGAGAGAGAGAGAGAGAGAGAGAGAGAGAGAGAGAGAGAGAGAGAGAGAGAGAGAGAGAGAGAGAGAGAGAGAGAGAGAGAGAGAGAGAGAGAGAGAGAGAGAGAGAGAGAGAGAGAGAGAGAGAGAGAGAGAGAGAGAGAGAGAGAGAGAGAGAGAGAGAGAGAGAGAGAGAGAGAGAGAGAGAGAGAGAGAGAGAGAGAGAGAGAGAGAGAGAGAGAGAGAGAGAGAGAGAGAGAGAGAGAGAGAGAGAGAGAGAGAGAGAGAGAGAGAGAGAGAGAGAGAGAGAGAGAGAGAGAGAGAGAGAGAGAGAGAGAGAGAGAGAGAGAGAGAGAGAGAGAGAGAGAGAGAGAGAGAGAGAGAGAGAGAGAGAGAGAGAGAGAGAGAGAGAGAGAGAGAGAGAGAGAGAGAGAGAGAGAGAGAGAGAGAGAGAGAGAGAGAGAGAGAGAGAGAGAGAGAGAGAGAGAGAGAGAGAGAGAGAGAGAGAGAGAGAGAGAGAGAGAGAGAGAGAGAGAGAGAGAGAGAGAGAGAGAGAGAGAGAGAGAGAGAGAGAGAGAGAGAGAGAGAGAGAGAGAGAGAGAGAGAGAGAGAGAGAGAGAGAGAGAGAGAGAGAGAGAGAGAGAGAGAGAGAGAGAGAGAGAGAGAGAGAGAGAGAGAGAGAGAGAAGGAGAGTGTCAAAGTTGTGGTGCCAAGGGGCTGGTGCCAATGGTATGGTTCTAAGGGTATGGTGTCAAAGTTGTGGTGCCAAGGGGCTGGTGCCAATGGTATGGTTCTAAGGGTATGGTGCCAATGGTATGGTGCCAAGGCTATGGTGCTAAGGGGCTGGTGCCAGTGGTATGATTTTCAGGGTATGGTGCCAAGGGTCTGGTTCAAGGGGCTGGTGCCAAGGGTTGGGTGCCAAGGGTCTAGGACTGGCACTTCTATTTTATTTTATTTTGTCAATTTATTTATTAATTATTATTCTATATATTTTTAAGAAAATGTCTGTTATTAATTTGTGGGAGAGAAACATGGTTTAATTTCTCTCTTTCTGTCTTTCACCCTCTATTTTCTGTCTGTCTGTCATTCTCTCTTTCTCTCTCCTTCTCTCTCTCTCTCTCTCTCTCTCTCTCTCTCTCTCTCTCTCTCTCTCTCTCTCTCTCTCTCTCTCTTTCTGTCTATTTCTCTCTCTCTCTTTCTTCTTCTTCTTCCCCTCTCCCCGACGACGCGACCGATCCCGACGACGAGGCCTGCGTGCGAAGTGGCGTTCTCGTCGCATCGCCGACCGAGAAGCCAAGAGGCCGGTTGCGAGGCGAAGGCGGGGAGGGAGATGGATAGGAGGTCAAGTGGCGGCCATCTCCTCGTGGGTAGGAGATGGGGGGTAGGGGGGGAGAGAGGGAGGGAGCCTGCGTGAGCAATGGGTGGAGTGGAGGAGAAGAAGAGAGGGGTGGGGGGGAGACGGAAAGAGAGGGAGAGGGAGAGGGGGAGAGAGAGAGGAGAGAGAAGAGAGACAGAGAGACAGGGACAGAGAGAGGCAGAGAGAGAGAGAGAGAGAGAGAAGGAGAGTGAGAGAGAGATAGAGAGAGGAAGAGATAGCTAGATAGATAAATAGATAGACAGATAGAGAGAGAGACAGACAGAGATAGGCAGAGAGAGAGAGAGAGAATGAGAGAGAGAGAGAGAAGGAGATTGGGAGAGAGAGAGAATGAGAGAGAGAGAGGAAGAGATAGCTAGATAGATAGATAGAGAGAGAGAGAGAGAGATAGAGACAGAGAGAGGCAGAGAATGAGACAGAGAGAAGTAGAGAGAGAGACAGAGAATGAGGGACAGATGAGAGGAGAAGGGAGATGAGAGAGTGAGAGAGAGAGCTAGAGTGAGAGAGAGAGAGGAGAGAAAGAGAGAGAGAGAGAAAGAGAGAGAGACGAACAGACAGACAGACAGAGACAGAGAGAGAAGGAGAGAGAGAGAGAGAGAGAAAGACCGGAGAGAGAAGGAGAGGAGAGTGGAGAGAGAGGAGAGAGTGAGAGATATATAGAAAGAGGAGAGAGAGATCGAAATAGAGAGAGACAGACAGACAGAAAGCAGAGACAGAGAGAGAATAGGAGAGAAGA